GATGAGCAGGTTGAATGATGAAAAGCTCACCGGTGCCGAAGTGTTGGATTGTACACCGGGAGATTCTTAATTGAAAACAATTTTGGAGCGCGCCGTTTTTCCGGCCTAATTCATTCTTCGGGAGCCTTTTGTGTGGAAATCGCGTGGGAACCGAGTTTTGTTACAATCCTTTTAAATTATTCAACATTTTATATTACAATTATAACAGTTTAACGAGCTTTTAATGAGTTTTTTTTTTTCCGTTTTGAACAATAAAATATTTTATATTAATTCAAACACATTGTATATGCGGCAGAGGAAAAAGTTTTAGATTGATTGTTAGCAAGAAAAGCACAGTCTTTGTATCAAAAGCACAAAAGCGTTAATCATTTTATTAGCCTCTTTCCGCCCGATGCCATCCATCCATCCACGCGCAGAGGACGACGCCGAGCTTTCGAGCTTTCGATCCTACTCGTATGCCGTGCGGGGTTCGTGCATATCGTTCATCTGGTAATTACCGGTCGCGGTCGGGCTCATCGTGAAATGTGAAATGCGAAATAATCGATAGCTCTAACTCGTTCACCTCGCCTCACCTCAGCGAGTTAGAGCTTTTGAGGTAAAAAGCGCGGCCGGTAAAAAGAGCCATCAAGCCGGCGCACAACAACGACAACCGACAAAATAAAAGACGATACTTACACTCACACACACACACTCTACGCGAACGTAACAATATATTTTGCTGCTGGCGTCGTTGTAACAGAAGTAAAGGTGTTGGTTGGTCATTAGCAAAGCTCCGCTGATGAGCCGCGGCGCACGGTAAACAGCTTAATTGACGTCGTCCTCGGCGGACAAAAGAAGGTGTGACACAATGCCGCGGCTCTAAACGCCGTACGCGCAGTATCAATTTCGATAAAAGCTTGCACAACAAGCTTTGAAAAGCTTTCTCGTGTCGGCCTGTTGTTGGACACTTTGAGCAAATTTGATTGTCATCGTGTAAATCATCTTTAAACAAACCGAGCGGACATAACTACATAACAACCCACTATTGTGAGCTTTTTTATTTCATAATTCTTGTCAGAAATAATTTAAAACATAAAAAATTATGCTTTTTGAAATAATTTGAAATTATTATTAGTCATATTATGTTGTGTAAATTATAAAATGTCGGTCTGAGAGCTTTGGTGTTATGAGACATTACCAGGTCATTTTAATGTCAGAGCTTTTGACCCAAGCACATTGCTGGAGGGCGGTCGCGCGGTGGCCCATGCGGAAAATTGCCGAAATTACGCGCCGCGCTGCGGTATCTGCAGTAAATCTATACGCTGTCGTAAAACGAGCTTTTTCAGACATCTAGCGCCCTCTTGATGTAGGAATCACTACTGTTTTACTACAACTTTGTACGTGGCACTCACAAAAGTTTTCTTGGCAGTTTACAGAGCTCTACACTGTAAAAATGAAGTAGAAAGCTTTATTTTGTTGAGTTTAGTGTTTGTGTCGCCACCTAGGTGAGAGTTTCTCAACACACAAAGTTTACAAGGGTAGAAATTCTGTGCCAGAAAGGAAAGCTCAATAAAATGTAAAGGGTGAGAAGAAAATGTTCAAAAGCTCTTGGTAGGTGGCAGCACTGATAATAAAATAGAATTTATTGCAATAAAATAATAAAAAGTAGCTTTTCTTAACTTTACCTGCTAAATTTATTACTTTATAATGAGGTGAGTGTTATTTGTAGCGTTTTGAGCTTTTAAAAAAATTCTAAAACATTTTATGATTAATGCATACATAAACATGAAGTAGCGCTGGAATGTTTTACACAATCGTCAATAAAAGCTGTAATAAAATACGCTCTACGCTGTGTTGAGCTTTTCATGTGCAATTTTATGCGCTTTTATTTAATATCACAGAAAAGTTGTACTCCAAAACACTAATAAAAGCATATCGAAATAATAAAATTCAAATGACTTTGATAAATAAATATTTTCTAGCGTAGAAATGATTTTGAATTATTTTACAAAGCTCGCAGGAGTGGGGAGTGAAGAACGACTCACTTCTGAATTACACCTACTCGTAGTATAGTAGCTGTATTGATCAGAAATCGATGTTGGGCGTAATTGTACGTAAATTCATTAAAAATTTACGCCGAGTTCCTGATGTGACGCGAAAGCTGTGACGGCGGAGCTTGCGACCCATAATGACGAACGATTTTCGATTTGTGGAGGCGCCGCGCTTGCATACAAATCAAACCCGGCACACATAACAACTCGAAAGCATTCATTGTTAAATTGTTTCTGTTTTTTGTTTGTAAAAGCACTAAAACAACAACAAATAAATTATTTATTTGCGTCGGAGAATTAAAATTGCAATAGGAGCGAAAAGTACAAGCGCAGCGACGTGAAAAACTCATTTCTATTTATTTGTTTATCAAATGACTCCTCGACTGCGTTACCAAGTCGCGAAGAATTCCGGTGCGTCTTTGTGCCTTTTGCGCGAGTTCACTACTCGGCGAATTCATGACTGCACGACTTCATAAGCCGCCGGCGGCGTAATTCGTTTTAATTCCGACGTTTCTCGCTGCCATTCACAGCTGAATAAGGGATGAATAGCAGTACAATACCTGAGCGATCGCACTTGCCGCTTGCTCGCGCGCGCAACTTTTCATTCGACTTTTGATATTTTAATGCTTTCAGCCTCGGCGATGAAACAATGAAACGAAAGTTTTTATTGTTGATGAATTCGCGCACAAAGCAACAAGTTTTACGATAAAAGCGATGATGAAGAATGAATTTTATTAATTAATAATAAATATAAAGAGTATAAAACTGATTTTTCAACGCAGAAAAAAAATTTATAAAATTTTAATTATCTGCTAAGTAGTGTAAATAGTAACACTTGAAACTTAAAACCACGAGTAAATTATAATCCGAAATTTTGCGCTGGCATAACGCGCGGCGTGTGTAGTTAATTGAAACGCACGCGGAATTTAATTAAAATATTAATAACGTTAATTTCGAGATGCATGGCGGAGGCGCCGGGGTCGCCGGGCGCGCGCGCTGAAGGCAAACTAGCGGCATCCGTCAAGGAAACGCGAGAAACCCCACGGAAAGCGATCAGCGCCGCACACCGCCGGCGCCTGAGCGATAATAAATTTATTATGAAAGCGAGCAAACGCTTCCGGTATTCCGGGCTTCCGGCGCGCAACCTTCAACCCACTCAGCGCTGGTGATTAGGCCGGATGTGATGAATGCCAAATTACCACTACTTAATTTTATATCCATATCCAGAAAAACATGTTTTGTAGGTGTTAAAAATTGATTTGATTGTGTTTTTGGCGTAATGTTTTTAATTATGCGAATCACCGGTGGCAGTGATTTTGTTCTAAGCACTTTAAACAAGTGCCCTCGCAAAGAATTACACTCGAAAATGTTCAACTGCCGCTTGAAAGCGTGGAAAACCTCGCTGAATACCAGCGTGATTTTTTTTATTTTCGCTTTGGCGCGTCATGACGATTTTTTGTTGCTGTTGTGTGCGAGTGTTTTTGTTGGTTTCGTTTTGCATTCGCCGCGTTGTGTTGTGTTTTTTGCTTTCTTGTAAAGCGCAATTGTGGCAGGTGGAAAATAGCTCCATCATCAAGATCAAACACAAAAACAAAGCTAAAAAAGAGTAATTTTAGAAATGGAAATCACATAAAATCCGGAAAATCACAAATAAAGATTTTAATACGTGCTTTTCAAACATTAATTGCCTTCCACGTCAAATTTGACAAACCGGAAATCCGGAAATCATATTTTTTTTTTTTATTTTCTATTGTTTATGATATACCGTTGAAATTTTAAAAACCGGAAATCCGGAAACACAAACTTCAGTTTAATTTTGTTGTTGTTTATGATATACTGTTGAAAATTTTTAAAACAGGAAGTAATATTACTTTTCATTGTTTTTGTTTTTATTTTTATTTTTTTAGTAGTTTTTGACTTATTTCTTAGTTTTCTCGGTAGATTACTTGTCTTTTCCTGTCGAGAGAATGCTCTGACGTGGTCTTAAAAATAAGTTCTTTTATTGCCTCTCCCAGCTTCCGGCGCGCAGACAACGAAACCTGTTATAGTTTAGTTACTGTGTTGTTGCACTGATTGCCAACCAATTTCGCGCGGGTCCCTTCATCGGCCCACGGACGACCGACCGGCAGTAATAACGTCGGACGGCGCGCAATCGATAAATCTCATAAAACACGAAAGAAATCGCCGCCGAAAAGAGCGAAATGAAAGTGGTAACAGCCTTGCAACTCCCACAACGACTTCCGGCGCGAACAAAAAATACAACAACCTCTGAACGCCTCAAAATATTTTATTCAATATTATTATATTGTAGGTAAATTTATTCCGGCAAAAGATATGAATTATTCACGCCGTATTTTATATTATTTTATTTCAATTATCAAAATTAATGCAATTGACTAAAAATGCAGACCTGGAGGGCTGGAAATTATCCGAGATATATCCACGTATGAAAATAGACTCGTTGTCAACGCCGCTGACCGTGTGACGAAATTTAAATTGAAGCGCAACATGAAGGGCGAATATTATTATTCCGCAATTTCAATAATAGCATTATCGTCATTAGCGCGCTCGGAGGCGGCGACAGTGCTCTTCCATTAATATTAAATCAAACGCGCACTTGACGTTCGTTTAAAATTTATGAATGAATTTAATATCGTACGTATTACACATATTATAGTATCAGCGGTAAGTGACAAACCGGAAAACCGGAAGTGTCGCTTAAAATGTTTATTTTTAATAAAAATATTATTAAGTAGGTTTTTGTAAAAACCGGAAAACCGGAAGTTTTAATTGATTTAGTATAAATAGTGTGAGTTTTAGAAGTGACCGCAAAGAATGCGAAAGGTAACGTTTTGCCGAGCGTGGTGGGGAGCGGCGAAACGGAAGGATCGCGCACGCCGACCTCGTGGCGCGTCGTTGCCGCCTCCGCCGCCACCGTCGTTGAGTCGCTTCCATTCGCCGCACGCCGGCCTCAGCCTCAGCAGGTTGCCGCGCGCGGACTCTGACACACACTCTCAAAATAACTACGTGTCAATTTAAATATTAATAAATTATAATAATAATAATTTATATAAAAATATTGACGAACGGATATAATTTATAATAAATTAGGTGTTGTAGTGAGTGTTGGTTTTTGGGCGTAAATAATTTTCATTCAGTATGAGCATGTGAGAGGTGCGCCGATTGAAAAAGTGTGTGTGGTGGTGGTGCGCGTGGTAGGCCCCGTCGATGGTATGTGCCGGGTTGCGGTCGGTTGGCGGCTGCTAGGGCTGCTCGCTGCGGTCGTCGGCGCGGCCGTCGGCAGCGAGTTCCCCGAACGCGAGTGCTGCGACCTCGACTATCCGCCGCCTCAGCCGCCCGCCGGCGCTGAGGATGCCGACGTTGATGCGGTGGTCACCCAACAGCCCAATCTTTCGCAAGCTGCTAACACTATCATTCCACCTAAAGGTAAAAGAATGAAAAAAAAAACACACAGAGAAAAACATGAAACGCGAGCGAAATTCCCACCGAGATAATTATCTTTGCGCGGGGTTTCTGGTTGCCGCCAGTGCTATGTTATTCTAACCCGGAGACATCTTCGCCACTTTGTTATGCGCGCTATTTTCCTTCACGGGTGCATCTCGCGTGCTGCCGGGCGACGAGTGCAATAAAAATGTAAAGGCAAGTTGGACGTGCGCTATTTACACGATGCGACGTTTTCGTCGCTTCCCGACGCGCGCCGTAAGTGCAGTCGTGTAATAACATCCGGATGAGAAAAAGCGGATGATCAAGATTGCTATCAAAACGACCAGACTAAAAATTAAAACGAATTATATTACATCTGCAAGATCAGACCGACTATAAAAACATATTACCAACGCGGAAAAGTTTAAAACCGGAAAACCGGAAGTGTCGACAAAAATGATTATTTTATAGTTTTAGTTACAGTACCGTTTGATTTTTAAAAGTGCGGAAAACAGGAAATGTATTCCGGAAAATAAAAAAATTGGGTGACTTTTATTGTTTACTTGTTTTTATCATCCCGGATAAGTAATTGTGAGGATGACGAGGTGCAAGTTGCAACAATGCACAAGGCGAGATGATTTACGAGGGCTTTTCAGAAATCCTTTATTTGCTGACGTGTTTTAGTAGTCGCGCTCAAAGCAACAAAAAACTTGAAAAAATTTAGTGCAAAGTTACTTTTCTTCACAAGTAAAAACTAAAACACTAAAAAATATTCTCGACATTAAATTAATGTTTCAATTTATTTTTCTTTACCTCTTGTCACGTTTTATTTTTTGATTAATTGATATTTTTTAATTATTTGCTATTGATTAATTCCGATGACTTTTGATATTAGTTCATGCTTGAAATGTTGACTTTCTATTATCAATTTCTCAACTTCTTGTGCTCTTTTCGGCCCTGGGTGGTTGGTGGTTTGTTGGTTTGTTGAATGGATCGATGATAATACAAAAGTTCGAAAGCGATGGCGAGGCGGAAGGCAAACATCGCGTTGAAGCTTCATTAATCATCATTTTATTATTTTATTATCGCGTTTCCGTTTCCGCTTTGCTTCGATTCACTTCACTTCCGATTGCCGCCGAAAAAGACAGGCCGGAAGTGGTGGTCACGGCGGATGTGCCACTTTGCGGGCGCTCGCGCTATGTTATTTACTCTATTGTTTAACCACTATTAATTTTTTTCGCTTGCATTAAATTAGGGTTAACTTTAAAGCCAAATAATTCAATAAATATTTGGTCAAAGTGAAAAATTCTTTATAGGTTTAATAAAACATGTAATTCTGTATCACATTACAAAAATTTGTTTAATTTTATTAATAATTAATGCAATTTTAATGAGTTTTATGAAAAAAAACAAATTTGAATTTTTTTAAAATTTTTGTTTTTAAAATTTAATTTATTCAACAAATATTTATATTATACTAAATTTTTTAAGTGAATCATATAAATAATTTACTCTTGTATATAATTACAAAATTTCATTAAAATTTAGCAATAATTACGGGAGTTATTAATAAAAATGTTTAATAATTGAATTTTTAATATAAAATTTCAATTTATTTTCGCATGTAAAAACATGCAACTGTGATATGAGATTTTCTAGTCGAGAAAATTACATAAAGCATAGAATGTTTGCTTTAAGAGTGAAACAAAGCGGAAACGTAGCAGTTTTAAACTAAACACATAAAAGTGAAAAAGCGGCGATCACAAAATGTGAAATGCGGCGTAAGAATGCCGAGCACGTCTGGCCGAAGCGGGCGGTGCATTATTCTCGCATATGCCAAGCCTCGCAACGACCCACCTCACCCGTCCCTGCCATCCCTTAAAGTCCTTGTAATCCTTTTTTCATGTGCAACTACATAAGTGCATCGTTTTGTTAACTTTAAACGCTGATAATTTCAAGTATCTCAAGTGTATTATGCACACTAAATGGGATTACCCTTCAATTATCCTTAATATAATAAAAGGATTTTTAATTTTTTTGTTGCTGGGCTTTAAAATGCGGATAAATAAATTTAATTCTTGAAATAAGAATTTGTCTGGCGGCTACTCGAAAAGTAAGAGTTAGTAAGGTTGGAAAAATCGAAGGATTGAAGTGAAAAGGGTTTGAAAAATAAGGATTTACGTAAAAAACCGCCGGACCAGGATTGGATTGCTTTTGATGAGGATTTGTGAGCGGTACATTTGCGGTGCAAGCCGTGGTAATTTAGGAACCACTGAATTTTCCTTCTCTTTAAAGAAAAAAAAAAGAGTTCAAACACTATTTTTTCATCATTTGACATTTTCCAATCCAATTTTCATCAACAAAATTCGTAATTAATTTCGTCGATAAAATTGACTAGCTTTTTTTTCGTTGTTGTTTTTGTTCGGTCAAAGTTGTTGTTCGGGATGTTTTTGACGTTTGCGCGCCGAAAACTTACACGCCGCTTGATCGCTGATGATGATTATTAGCATCATTAATATTATGAAATGTGCGCGTACGTTTCTCGTACGTAATTTATCAATTTAAAACAATGGCCGCATTAATTACGATATTAATTCATCGCGCCCGGCGCCTCCGCCGCCTTGATCGCGTGTTGTTGCTGCGAGACGCGCGTCATTAGCGTACAATGCGCGACACATGATAAATTCGGCGGCGCGCTTTAAGTATCTCTTTAAGAATTTAGTAAATTTTGGTGTTAACATGGAAAAGTGAGTTTCATAATTAAATTTTTCGAAGATAATCAAGAGAAAATATTTTTTTTTGCCGAAAAATTGAAAATTATTTTAGTTTTTCGTAAATATTTTGCATTTTTTGACAAAATATTATAAAAATTGGTAGCTAGATAGCAATTTACATTATCTACAGGGTGTTTAAAGAAAATTTAAAATTAGTCAAATATTTTTCAAAATATGCAATTTTAAAGTTCAGAAAAGTAATTTCTTGAAATATTTTACATTTTCCTACATAATTATAAAACTACTGAGTGAAATTGTACAGAAGCTTGTACACACATTGCTAATTAAATATTCTGCAAGATGTCGAAAGAATTGTGTTGATTTTCTTCCTGGTTCTTTAATTATCCAGACGCAAAGTGCGTTTTAAAAATTTAAAATCAAATAAAAATGTTAATCCGTTAAAACACGACTATCTAAACTTCTTATAACTAAGCCAAAAGTAACTAAATCAAAGTTTTTCAATTTACGAATACATTTGACTACCCTTTTCATCCACCTCCACGCCACCATCTTCTCGACCATTACTCACTGCTGTAATAATGATGAAAAATTTTCAACTCTTCAATTTTTTTTCCTCCTCCTCGGCTGCCCATGTCTTGTACACGTACTAAGTTTTTAAAGCATTAAGAGCTCAAACTTTTCATTTCAACTTTGCGCGTCCGCACGGCACGAATGTAAATGTTTGCCTCTTGTCTCGCGCATTATTTCAATATTCACGAGAAGGAAAATATTACGCAGAGCGTGTTGCATTTGTTTATCTCATTTTCATCTTGTGTAGTGCACACGACGTGGAATAAAACAAGGGTATTTTAATATGAAGAGACGCCGCGCACATGATGAATGTGGAGGATGGTGAAAAAAGAAGCGTTTGTCAATTAATCACGTAATTACTTTGGTTAATTCCGTCGACGGCGGCGACGACGCCGTCGCTGCTCGTCACCGCATCTCACGGGTGTCATTTACAAACAGGCAAGGGGTTTAGTTGTTAATCAAGCGGATGATATGTATAAGATGTGTGTGTATTGTATTTTTAATGTGAAATACAAGTTTTAAAGTTGGAAAGTTGATTAAAATGGGTACAAAATATATTTTTTTTACTTTTTAGGTTATAACTTTTTTAATATTAGTAGGAATTGTATAGAAAAGTGTAGCCAATTAAATTATCTACAGGGTATTGAAGAAATTTTTGTTGTGACATTTTTAGTTTGTTGGTAATTTTAGGTCGAAATTTTGTATTGGAAAAAAAATTGATCAATTTTAAAAATAATATTTTTTATATTTTTGATTATAATTAACGAATCATTAATGCGATTTTTACTGAATTATTACTAAGGAAAGTCAATAAAATTATCTACAGGCTGTTTTTTTAAATTTTTAAAATAAATTAATTAGAAACAAAAATACAGCCTTTTTTTCTAAAAATGGCAACAAAAAAATTCAATAACACACAATTTGATATTCTTTTATATTCACTTTTTTGCGATAAGTACGAATGTACAATAGGGTTGGTTGTACGCGCGCTAATTATAATTCCTCATTAATTTGCGCGCACATTCTCACGTGCTCGCCGTTCGTACTTGCCCGTCGCGTGGCGTACACGTCGCGCGGCGCGGATATTGATTTTTTCGCCACCGCCGTCGGCGCCTCCACCATTTGCTCGCTTCTTTTCCTAAAGGGCCACTGCCAACCCGCCGACTAACCGCCAAACCACCCCGACCGACCGGCCGACCACTTCATTGATGTAGAGTGGAATAGAACGCAGTTGAGTTGTAGTTGTAGAACACTGGTTTAATATAATTAGTCGCAGAGCAGAAAGAAGCAGAAAAAAAAACGGAAAAAAAATTCACCAAAACTAGAGTAAAATAACAAAGTTTGGTAAACTATCTATATCAATATGAAAGTTTAATTAATTTAATTAGTAAATATTAATTATTATTTTATATTGAATTTGGTTATTGAACCATTTTTGATACACGGCATCGGCCGGAATGCGAAATAATTTCGGCACGCTAATAAATCGTCGTTTAATGAATGCTCATGCAATTAATCTAAATTATATCGGCGAGTGTATAAGCGAGTTAATAAAATTCGACGGCTCGGATGACAAATTGCTGTGCTGAAAATACTCTAAACACGCACTTAATATTTGATTACTTGCTATAAATTTGTTTACATTATTCAACAACTATATAAATTTACTTTATGAATTACTTAGAAATGCAATACTAA